CACTGGAGTATGAAGAGGGGCCCGCCGCTCGTGGCGCCGCCGCCACCGACGCCACCCTTCCCCAGCTGTGAGCACGCCTCGCTGCCTGTGGCCGCAGCCGCAGCACCAGGGCGCCCGCCTTGCAGGCTGGACTGCCTTCAGCGCAACGGCTTGCGCCTGCTGGTGCGGGGAAGGCCATGGGGTGCCTCGCAAGCCGCTTCCCGCCTGCCGGTACTCGCTGGCACTGTCGCCCGCGGCGGCTCCCCCCGCCCCGCCATCCGCCTGCCTTACCCCCGGCACGGCCTGCCTCTTTCCCGCTTGGCCCGCTGCCCTGCAGCTGGGACGACCTGGCGGCGCAATATGGCGAGGCGCTTGCGGTGATGGACCCGCACCGCTCGCCCGTCGTGCAGTACAGCTTTGCGCAGCTGGCCGACGCCATTGCCCAGTTCGCGTCCGGCCTGCAGTCGCTGGGGCTCAGGTGAGGCGGCAGCCGCGCGGGGGGGCGCCGCCGGCTGGCTGGCCAGCGCTGGGCGCGCGCGGCGGGGGCCGCCAAGCCGCCCGGCGCCGGCCTCAACCTCCGCTCTCGCCGCCGCGCCGCGCCGCGCGTGCAGCAAGGGCGACAAGGTGTCGCTTTTCAGCGAGAACAGCAGCAGGTGGCTGATTGCGGACCAAGCGATCATGAAGTGCGGCGCCGCCGACGCGGTGAGTTCCCGCTGAGGCCGGGCTGGCTGGGGGGCGCGGCGGCGCGCGGCGGCGGCCGGGCACGGCGTCCCGCCTGCCGCGCAGCAGCAGCGCCTGCGTGCGGCGCGTCACGCGGGGGGTGTGGAGCGCCGTTACCGGCGCCGCGGCCGCTGTGCTGTGCTGCCGCTCACGGGTGGTGCTGCGCGTGGTACTGGCCGGCCCGCAGGTGCGCGGCACCAGCAGCAGCCTGGAGGAGCTGCAGTACATCATGCAGCACAGGTACTGCCGCCGCCGGGCGTACCGCCGCCGGCCGCGCTGCGTGGCGGGCGGGCAGGGCGCGTCCGGCCCGCCCGCGCGTGCGCAGCGCTGCCCTCGGGCCCCGCCGCTAGCCTGGCTGCTGCCTGCCGCACGCGCGCGCCCCTCCCCCTGTCGTGTGCAGCGAGAGCGGCGGGCTGGTGGTGCAGGATGCCGCCACACTGGACAAGCTGCTGCCCGCCCTGGGCAGCTCCAAGCAGGTGGGTGGGCGTGGCCCTCGCGGCGGCGGCGGGGCGGCAGGCCAGCGACGGCAGTGCAGCGGCGGCGGCGGCGGCGGCGGCGGCAGCGCAGCGGCATCGCATGGCCCAGCCCCGGTGCTGCCCCGTGCCGTATGCCATGCCTTGTCGGACGGGTTTGCAGGCCCGACACGCCTTGCCTGCCTCGCTGCCGCCCCCGCCTCCCTCGCCCCGCAGGCCTGCCCCATGCGCTTTGTGGTGGTGCTGTGGGGCTCGCCGTCGGCGGCCGCGGCGGCGGCGCTGGGCTCCCACCTGCTCACCTTTGACGCGGTGATGGCGCGGGGCGCGGGTCAGGTGCGCCTCCCTGCCTGCCTCCCGCCTGCCTGCCTGGGCGCGGGTGGGCTGCCTGAGGGGCTGCC